GTCTCTGTGTCAGAGAGAATCCCTCATGTGGAGGAGGGGAACGGGGTGCGGGTTGGAGGGGCTCGTGGGGCCCCACTGCAACGGGCCTGGCCACGGGGGAGGCATCGAGCCGCTGTCTGAGGGAGGAGGCCTCTGCCCTGGCCCCTGCCAAGCCCCATCCTGGAGCCCTGGGGAAGCCGGCGGGATGCGCGTGCCCTGCTGCTGCCCCGAGCAGAGGGATGCGGGAAGCGAGCGGGTCTTTCCGCTTTACCTGTTTGTTTTCAAAGAGGAGCAGGAAGAATGAGGAACGTCGGCCTCAGAGGCAGCGGCCAGGGAAGGACTCGCTCACGGCTGTGACTGGAGCGGGTCTTAGGGCCGGGCGCTGACATCTCTGTCCTGTCTCACAGGGAACCGAGGAACCACGGCCGGGAGCTCGGGAGACGCGCTCGGCAAGGCACTAGCTTCAGTAAGAGATTCCCCCAATCCCGACCTCCTCCCTGTCCCTTCCCTGGCTTGATCCTTCCCTGATTAACGGTGACCCTCGAGGCAGCCACGAAGAGGAACCCATGAGAAGCCTGGGTGAAACCACCAGACCCAGAAACGCGGCAGCTTCGGGGGGGGTGACACGAGTTCCCTCACGTTTTATTTCCCCCCGAGGGCTCCGTGTGCTGCCTTCCTGCACCCAGTGCTGTGGAAAAGCCACTTTGGATGGGGAAACTGAGGCAGCCCCATGTGCAGCAGCCTGGCACCTACTTCAGTGCCTGGCTCAGCCCTGGCAGCGGGATACGTGAGCCCAGGGCTCCCTGCTCCCAGTGGAGGGTGCCAAAGGGATGCTCCAGGCCCTGGGATGGCAATGAGGGGACAGAGAAGGGCCCCGGTGTGATGGGAAGGCAGAAGCAGGGGGGACGCGAGCGTGCTGCGGTGGGGATGAGCCGACTCGGCCGCTGCGCCGGCCGGGAAGTCGGCGGCAGCGCGGGAGAGGGAGATGCCCTGGGATAGTCCCTGCTCCAGAGCGCGTGGCGTGGGAGGCGCAGCCGCAGGGACGGGCAATGCTGACCGTGCGCCGCTTCTCTTCTGCAGATTTATTCCCCGGATCACTCTAGCAATAACTTCTCCTCAAACCCCTCTACACCGGTCGGCTCCCCTCAGGGGCTTGCAGGTAGGTGAAGGCCCTGCTCTTGACGTTGGAAAGGTTTCCTCCCAGGAGGAAGCAGAGCAATTTCCGCTCTGCAGCCCCACCACACTGCAAAAAGCAGAGCAACCCCCAGGGCTGGGACGGAGCCTGGGAGCAGCCTGGCCCTCCGGCTGCCCGCTCGACCAGTCGGGGTAAATGTAGAGCCCTGGCGAGGTCCAGGGATGGGCAGCGTGGGCAGCCTGTGCGCAGCGTGAGTGCTGCGTGCAGCCCGCTGCAACACATGGCCGTCGCATGCAGCCCCCATGCAGCCCCGTGCAGCTCCGTGCAGCCCTGTGTGGCTCCATACAGTCCCGTGCAGCCCCATGTGTCCCCATGCAGCCCTTGTGCAGCCCCGTGTGGCTCCGTGCAGCTCTGTACAGCTCCATGCAGCCCCGTGCGGCTCCATACAGTCCTGTACAGCTCTCTGCAGCCCCATGCAGCTCCAGGAAGCCCTGTGTAGGCCCATGCAGCCCCGTGTGGCTCCATGCAGCCCCATGCAGCTGTGTGCGGCCCTGTGATGCTCCCTGCAGTCCCATGTGGCCCCATGTTGCCCTGTGCAGCCCCACACAGGTCTCTGTAGCCCCATACAGGTCTCTGCAGCCCCATACAGCCCTGTACAGCTCCATGCAGCCCCATACAGCTCCGCACAGCTCCCTGCAGCCCTGTGCAGCCCCATACAGCCCCATGCCCCTCCCTACAGCCCAGTATAGCTCCATACAGCACCCTGTGTGGCTCCATGCAGCCCCCTGCAGCCCTGCACAGCTCCATACAGCCGCATGCAGCCCCCTGCAGCCCCGCACAGCTCCCTGTGGCTCCATGCAGCCCCCTGCAGCCCTGTGCAGCTCCATACAGCCCCGTGCAGCTCCCTGCAGCCTTGCACAGCTCCCTGCAGCCCCGTGCGCGCGCTGCGGCGCCGGCCCAGCTCGCAGCCCCATCTAGCGGTGGCTGCGCCCGGTGCCAACCCACTGCGTTCGCTTGCAGGCACGTCGCAGTGGTCGCGAGCGAGCGGACAGGGTGCCTTATCTCCCAGCTACGAAGGGAGCCTCCACACTTTAGTAAGTGCCGCCGACGCGTCTCCCTGGCGCTCTTCTGGGCCGGGGTAGTCGGCAGGGGGAACCCCTCTCCCGAGCACCTGCGGGTGCAGATGGAGGGTTGGTTGAAAGTGGCGACGCCACTTTGGGTGTCCCACGCTGCGAGCCCAGCGCCTCGCCACGGCCGAGCGACAGACCCTCGGCGCGCAGCAGGCCTGGCCCC